TTTCTTTTATTTGTTTGTTTAGTTCAGCGTGAAGGCCTCATAGATTTCATTAGGCCTGGAATTCACTGGTCAAACCAGTCATAGTGGTCTCATACTCAGTGCTGTGAAGGTTATTTTTGAAATGTAAAAGGTTACAGATTACTAGTTACCCTTTTAAAATGTAATAAGTAATGTAATTACTTCATCAAAGTAATGTAAGTTATTACTTCTTGATTACTTTTATAAAAAATAGTTTTAAACTGGGCAATAAAGCTGAAAAGTCCTAAAATAAATTTAAACCTTGCAACAGTAATCAACACTTATTACTGTCAAATGTTTCTAAAGGTTTCCTTCAGCTTCAGTTAGCTAATATATTACTGTTGAAACATGTAGCCTACTGAGCAGGCACCAGACCAATTCAGAAGGAAAATAATGCTGAATTTCTGGCACTGAAAAGCATCCTTGTCTGGCAACATGGCCACCCGCCTTGGTGTTGTCTGCATGGTAGATTCAGGTTGCTTAGAGGAATTTGTATTAATTTGATTGATAGATGAGCAGTGGGGCAAAGGCAAACAAGATAACTGATCAAAAGCAGTGTTCAAAATTTAATGCACACTGTAAAATGAGTGGAACCCCTCTAGGGGTGGGCCCCTTTCTGCACATCAAAAAGATGCAATGCAACAGAATGAATATTATTCTACACTTCTTACCAAAAAGAATTCACATGTAATCACCAACATTTTGACTAGCATCTTAATTTAATTACCGTACATATTTTTTCAGTAACTGCAACTGATCAGTTACATTTATTTTGTAATTTTATTACAGTGACTAATTCCATGTAACTATTTTCATTAAACCCCTTTTTAAAATATATCATCCCACTCATGTAATTTCTGTTGCTTTTTGTGACTGAGCCACAAAAAAGAGAAACAGCCCAATGTGGGTCAAAGGTCATGTTTGATCAGCTGATGTTCAGAGATGGGAACATGGACAAAATAAAATAGCTTTGAGCGTTGATGGGAAGAAAGAAGTGTTTGACAGATCAGGGTGTGTGTGTGTGTGTGTGTGTGTGTGTGTGTGTGTGTGTTTGCATATATGCAAGCTTGTGCATACATGTCTGACTGATGAATTAATCTGCAGACAGATGAACTGTCCCACTTGGAGGGATCATTCTACCAACCCCAAATCCAAATATGTGGATAAATATGTCTATAGTTGTTGTTGGAATGATTAATATTATTCCAGCCACTGAATAACTCAGATTTTGCATCACCTTCGCACTGCACCGGCTTTGTTTCCCCTTTTTTCAAGATACTGTGGTGCATCTTTCATTTCAGCAGCTCTCATTGTTTTGTTTAAATGATAATTCTGGTGATATTCAGTGTTTTACATAGTCAGCAAATCTCATGAAGATCCATTAATCAAGTAGTAGATTGTACAGCATGTGTAGTCGGAGTCTTTGAAATTATAATTGGGTAGCCTATATGCTAAGTCTTCACTATAGACAAATAAAATTTGAGCTGAGCACCACAGGCAGGGTAGAGACACCAGTTTATTTACTTCAATTTTATTCAAACATCATATACAGTCAATATTATCTACCTGCTCCTAATGCTGTTCTGTCCTCCTGTCTGTCTGTCTTAGGGACCTAGAGAATTTGCAGCAGTGAAGCTGAGACACCAAAGCTACTATGACCCAAACCCCCAACTCTGTGAGTAGCTCATGGTTTTCCCCTCATTGCTTCCCTCTCTTCTTGGCTTGTTTAACACTGACGCGAACGTGTGATTGACAAGAAGAAAACCTTCATCTCTCTCATTTCCTCTACACGTTGGTTTACAGGCACATGTGTGGGGCTAAATGTCCACTGGCTTATGTGCTTGAGTTTGCATTTTGAGTGAGTTGGTGTTTGCCATGTGCACTCTCACACAGTGCGCCAGTGACATTTCACATTAATGTGAGTAAATCTGGATGCTGAGCACACTGTCATCATTCAGCGGGCGGCAGCAGAGGAGTCTGGATTTTTGGGTTTTTCCTGTAACCTACTTCCAACTGCAGAGTCAGTCAGACAGACACAGATAGACAGACAGATGTGGAGAGAGATGGATGAAAGTAAATAAAGGAGTGAGTCACTATACTGGAGACGAAGAAGAAACAGATGGAGAGTGTTTGTTTATTTGATTGTTTATGACTGACACAAATTCCAAGTTGATCCAAATTAAACTTCACTTCACCTTGTCCTTTGTCTTCTCCTTTTTTCTCCACTCACTCCTGGAAGTTTCACGGGCAAGCCTCACAGCGATGTGGCCTCAAGGTCTGAGGTTGTCCTGTTGTAGAGTCATGTTGTTAGCCAGGTCGAGCTGATAGCGCTGATATAAGTGCCAGCTGTGCCTGGATCACAACCGTGACCAGGTGTGTATGACATACTGTTTGATGAATACAGGTCAGCTGCTTTGTTGCATCATATCCATGGATAATAATCAGGAAAGTAACAGAAGTTCCTAGAGCTTTCATACATACATACGCACAAGTACACACAACCTCATTTAGTCTGAGCCTTGACACTTTGATAAATAAGTGGTAACTGATTACAGAAACCTCCCTGGTTGTTCATGCGTGTACCAGCTGTGGGAGCTGGTGACCACACATCTGACACATGCACACACACTCGTTCATACCAGAGGAAAAGATGATCCTCAGCTGAGCTCACAGCTGGATCTGCCACAGGATAGAGAAACTGTAGGAAAGGGGCCATTTATAACCCATTGGTTCTTTGTAGTTTCCAATCAGTAAATGAACTGCAGTAAATTAACATCTGTTCTCCAGGTTCCATGCTTGTTTGTAAAGCCCTACTCCTCATTTATCTTTCTATTTTACTGCCATCATTCAGCAACTCTATACCTCTGAAGTCTGACAGTGTGCACTGAAGAACAGGGGTAAGAAAATACACAGTGTTGAGCGGTGCACGTTAAGAGGGTCCAGTGTGGTGCTGATTACTGTGTCAGCAACTGAATGACTTGAGAGGGGAAAATAGAAGGAGAGAAGAGAAGGACAGAGGAGGCGTGAGGTTGATAACTGCCTTTCCATACAAGGAGAGGTAGGAGGAGACAAGAGGGGGAGGAGAAAGCGAGAGGGAGCAAGGGTAATCTGAGGAGATATAACACAAGAGAGAAGGGAAGAGGAAAAAATTTTGGAAAGAGAGATAATAACAAAGGATAGAGGGATAAAGACAGTAGAGAGAGAGAGGAGACAAGAGAGAGACAGTGGGTCTGTGTCCTCTGTGAATCTGCTGCTGTGCCTTTTGTCACTGACGATCCAATACAGGTAGGACAC